TTCTGCTACTGTTATATGAAACATTCATCCAGATGAACAATATTAGATGAACAATCCATTAGATGAACAATTTCAACTAACATTTTGTTAGATATCTTTTAAATCCATTGGTTAAAGATGTGGTTAAACTGATTTTGTGGTTGAGCTTGTTGAGATTTTGTCTGATGGACTTGTCTGTTTGTGCAAGTGGAGTATTAAAGCCCCCACCCGTATGACCGTATTGATATCTGTCCTTTCTGTGGAGTTCTTTTGTTTTATGAAATAGGTACACTGACATTTGGTGCATATACATTTAGACTTCTTATCTCTTCCTGGTGAATCATTCCCTTTGTCAACCTACAATGATCTTCTTTGTCTCTTCACATGGTTTTGGTTTCAAGCTTGCTTTGTCAAAACTTAGAATAATTGCTGCCTGTCTTCAGGCTCTGCTTTCCAGGAGTTCCAACTTTTAACTTTCATTTTTTGTGGATAGGTGTGTGTGTGGGTGTGTGTGGGGGTGTGTGTGGCTGAGGAATGTCTCCTGGAGGCAGCATAGTTTTGTCTTTTGATCTAATCAACCATTCTGTGTCTTTTGGGGTGAAGAGTTAAGACCACTTATCCTGAATGTTATTGAATTGTGTGGGTGGGTTTGTTTTGTTTTGTTTTTTGTCTGTGCTGATTCCATTATTTTTTTCTCTCTTTGTTTATTCTCCTTGTTAGGCATATCCTTGCTTTGGGGTTCTTTGGTGATGTTGGCCCCCTTGTCTTTCTGTGGTATTTTGTTAAGTACTTTGTACAGTGCTGGTTTGGTGTTAACCAATTTCTATAGGTTTGTTGTTTGAATACTGTACAGATATCTTGTCCTCGTCCTCTTAATGAACATGTTACTGTAATTTACTACTTCACAAAAGCTGACCCTGATGGTTTTGTAATGTTCTAATGGATTAATATAGAATATTTGAATGAGGAATGTAGTTATAAGGAGAATTGCTTGTTGTGTATTCATGTATAACATTTCAGTAAGACTCCAAAGCATTTTATTGTAAACCCCATACATTTCATCATTAAATTTTGTTGGACCACCTTAAAAGAACAGAGTTTCAAATCAATACCTCCCTCTATTTCTTGTCTCTTTGATCTTCCTGTGGCTAATTGTCTCTGCCCATTCAGAGGGAATATTATTTACCATAATTTTCAAAACATTCTGAAGACATAATCATGCAAATAATTCTAAGTAGTATCATGGTTTTCTGCTCCTTTATTTATCCTTACAATTTTTCAATTTGACTTACTATTTTTAAGAAAATTCACAGAATGATATATAAAAATTGATCATTTCTTGATCAAGGAATTTTTCAATTGGTATAAATGTTGCTTTATTCCAAATGTTTTTCAAGAAAGAATGTTTTATTCTCTTTTAAAGACATACCCACATTTGTAACATTTCTATATGCATTCAGATTATTTTCACTAGAATTTAAAACTACATTTTAACATGACTCTGTGTATGGAGATGAAGAAATCACATTACTATTGTGTTTACACTAGATATCTTGGTGATCTAACTCATTAGCTGTGATGTCTACACTTCTAAAGCTTTATAAACCATTATGCTAGGGGCCGAGGACTTAGCTCACTGGTTCCACTGCCTGGCTTGCAAGTGCAGGGTGCTGAGTTTGATTCCCAGTGCTATATTTTTAAAAAATCACATGTCTAGCTTTTTATATTTCACTCTGTATAAATTTTATGGTTTTTATCGCTTGACTTATGGCCTCTAATTTTGTTCAGTGATAGATGAAATGGTAATAACTACTTGAATTTTCCTGTTCTGCTGCTATTTCACCAGAGTATTTTGTTTGTTGTAGGTTTTATACTTTGTTATTGATAGGTAATTGTATACCTTTATGGGATACACTGTGATATTTTGGTATGTTTACACACTGTGTATTGATGAACTCCAGACCCTAAGGTTATCCAAAATGTCAAATATCATGTTTCCTTTTTAGGAGAGCATTCAAAATCCTCTCCTAGTTTTTTGAATATATGAAACAATATTTTTCATTGAAATCAGCCTTTGATAAAATGGGTAGAACCTTCCAGAACCTCCTCTGTGCCATCTCTTTGCCCCTGGGTCATCTGGAGAAAGTTTCCGTCATTGTTTGACAATACCCAGGGAGCTGGAGTAATGTGCTTCTGTCTGCATTGGAGTCTCAGGCCTCTGTTCCATTTAGCGCTCCAGCAACGTTGGAAAATACGGGGTGGCTGTGTTCCCTTTCCTGTTTCAGAATCTCCAGTTCCCACTCCTTCTGTGCTTAATCCCTTATTCCAGCTCTATGATAAGCCCCATTTTTACTATCTTCACCTCATCCCACTACCAGTGTAGACAATCTAATGTGTTTCTCTTTAAACAGATGTTCTCAAATATTTTGTCACAAACTCCAAATAATGTCCATCATTGAACATGTTATGCTTTATATTTATAGAGAAATTGTTTCAGGACTACTCAAGATTTTGATGCCCCAATCAAGGTTAAAGGTTGAAAGAAGATAGCACAAATATTAGGTATGTGAAAATGATGCTTTTCCTATTATTTTATTCTGATATATACAAATATTTTCCAAAAATGTGCTAGAAATAGCATGTCTGAGGTTATCGTTGGAAGAGCACTTGTTACATTCAGAACTTGCATTGAGGGATTCCACTGAATTTATGGGCCTCAGAGACAGTTTAAATGTAGAGACAAAATGGGAACAGGTATAATATACAAATATTATATACACGGACTTCCAAGGTTCCAACTTCAGTAAATAAGTCAAGTTGTACAGTTTCTATAAACACATAATACGAAGGGGAAGACCAGGTTTCAGAAGATAAAAATCTTAGGATGGAAATGTTGAGCCTGAGGTACTCATAATACACTTATAGGACGTAGTGGGAATCTGGTTCTACCCTTTGGAAATGAATTTATGATGGATGTTATGGCTTGGGAGAATGTCATACATGGTAAATAAGCTACATGGGCGGAAAGGCTCAGAATCTAATGGCGAAGAGGAGTGAGATGCAAAACATAGAACACAGAGCATACAAGGCAGGAATGGAAGGAAACAGAGGAAGAAAACCCAAGCAAGGAGATTGAAAAGGCCATGGGATAGGACACAAGGTGACAGTCATATTTTTATATGGGAAGTTAGAAAGCGGAGACAGTGAGAAGAAAGAACAAACTTTTCCCAGGAATAGTACTGCATTAAAGATAGAAAGTTGAGGGTGTCATGGTGAAACTGGCGGAGGAAATGTCTATGTTAGTTCATTTGGAGTTTTATAGCCAAATACCGTAGTGGGTAATTTATCAACAACAGAAATGCATTCCTCACAGTTTTAGAGGGTAGGAGGTCCCAGATCAAGGTACCAACCTATGAGTGTCTACTGTGAACCTTTCCTCATAGATGGAGCCTTCTGTCTCCCCTTGCTCCTATGGAGGTAGGAGCCAAAAAGCTCCCTCAAACTTCTTACAAAAGGGCACACTGATCCCACTCATGAAAGCTGACCTGTATGACTTAATCATCCATCAGAGGTCCATCCCCCTGTACAATCAAGGTTGAAGTTAGTTTATAACAGGTAAAATTTTGAGGGACACAAATATTCAGGACACAGTAGGTGAGCTTGATCAGCATCTCTTCCAGTTTCCTCTGTTGAGCCATCCTGGATATCATAGGATGGAAACTGAAAACCTACACTAAAAGCATAAGCTTGCTTTTCCCTATAGCACTGTTGTTTGCTAGAGATTCAGATGTGCTTTCGGTGTAGCTGTTCAGAGACATTCATGCCAGATGCCAGTTTGGAACCTGGGAGAATTGGGAGACTGAGGATTCGTGGTACTGCTGTGAACTCAGCTGTGTCAATATGGATCTGGGACTAAGCCATCAGCTTTCTACGTGTGGTTTGCCATTGAGCTAGGATATTCCCACACCCTATGGCCAAGATGTTTTTCCTTCTTCCTTAGCTTTCCAGTGCTCATGCAGAGTGGCTCCAAGACAGAGTCATCTTAGATAGACATGTGTCTATCCAAGGCAAACTAAGTGGATGGTCTGCTATGGCTGAGACAGATACCTCGCAGAGGTGTTTGAGGGTCTTGAGGTACACAGGATGGCCACACTTGTCATGGGGACAGTGTAGCCATACTGTAGGGGAAGGAGCTGTTTGATTGACAATTCTGAACATTTGTGAGAAATGGGGGAACCAAAAATGGTGATTGTCCCTGCTTTCAGAAGTCTCCTGGTGCAGTGTCCAAAGAGAATATGGTCATTAAGGTTTGGGAATGTGTAGCTATCATCAGTGTGCTCTGGTTCCTCCTCAGTATTTGCCCCGGGAGACCCCAGTCCTCCACCACTCTTCACAGTGTTAGCTGCAACCGACCAGAGTAACAGGGAAGGACTAAGCAGCTGTCAGGGTCACAGCTGCAAGCCTGTTCAGGCAGCCACTCGGGTGGCCAGAAAATGCTGAGAATAGTAGCCCAGAGCCACCCTCACGCTTTGAGAGTGAGATACTCCGGGTGAGAGCTGTTAGTGACTCCGCACTCCCTCTGGCTGTCAGGGGGAGACGCACCTTAAAGGTCAGGCCTAATTTTGGCCTAACCCAACTCTATTAGATTTACCTGTGCCTTATGAGCCTCACAAATATTATCATTTGTAACTGTTATGATCTCCATTCCCAAGACTACACTGCTGACACAGAAAAGAGAACAGAGGTATAAAATGGAGGGAAGAGATTTAAGACCACAAGTTTGTGGTACTGAAGTCTAAACTTATATACAACCTCTCCTAACCATCAAAGATAGGAAAATTTGTATTTATTAAAAAAGCAAAACACAAACTGACAAAGAAATTCAAAATACGAATGTAACAAAACTACATCTAGAGCCTCCAGATGTTGTGCTAATATGGCCATTCTCCATCCTTAACAATCTTCTTTCTTTCCTTCTTGTATTTTCTCCGCAGCCTGGCAAAGGCAAGGTGGAAAGTAAGGCAGGAAAAGCCCTCCTCAACGCCACACTCCACGTGTTTCAGAAGGATCTCCAAAGTGCGGAAGACCCTGCAGCAGCCCATGCACCTGAAGCCCCTCTCTAGGTCCTCCAGCCATGGACGTGATTTAGCGCTGGGACGGGCCTCCTGAGCCAGAGGCTCTGCTGCACTCTCAGCCTGTTCCCATTCCTCTTGGACTTCACTGTTAGTTAGGACGTGCTGTGTATCGTCAGTGAGGGTAACTTTTGGAGGAATCCTCTCAGGAAAGGTAAGTTTGGCTATGCTTATCCTTTTTGGGGGAGGCTGCAATTCTCCAGATGGATCCTCAAAGATAGCGACGCCCCTTCTGGTTAGGACACGCATGTAGTAAACATTCATGGCTCTTTTCCTTTCGGTACATCCTGTGGTCATCAAATGGTTACTAGCAAAGGCGGAAGGTACATGGGAACGTGAGATGGAGGAGGAATTCCGACATTCCATCAAATCTTGATGCAGAGGCCTCTTGCAGGGTGGCAGGTGTAGACAATATTGAGGTAACTTACTGGTTTCTAGGAAAGAAAATTTCAAAAAGCAGGACATGAGATGGCCCTGAGAACATCCCTGAGTGAAGGTATGTGAGATGGGAATGCATTATCTGTGAAGTTTCAGAATTCTGTGTGTGGCATGTGTCATGCAAGGTCTATACTTGGTATAACTATGTGAAAAATGAGTTTGTGGGCCAGGGATTTAGCTCGGTGGTTCTGCTGCCTGCCTTGCAAGTGCAGGGTCCTGAGTTCAATCCCCGGTACAAAATTTTTAAGAAATGAGTTTGTGGTGTTCCTGGAGATAAACAGAGATGTAGTACAATATGATATGCACAGCTATCTATATTATGCACACCTATGTATTATGGTACATGTCTGATGAATGTTTCTGGTACTGGTAAGAAATAGTGGTGGGTGTGTGTATGTATGTGTGGAAGAGTGTGTTATGTTGTGTGACAGTGCATGTGATCCCTGTATGTTTGTTGTTAGATGATGCACCTTTACGCGTTAGGAGAAATATTTATGGCCTCAGACCACGGAGTTCAAAGGAAAGGCTGAGAACACGGGATAGGAAGTGACATTTGGGTAAGAAAATACACATATTGAAGGGCTCCTGAGTTTTCTAGTGTTTGGTCTATCAAATATATAGAATTAAAATAGACTATCCCTTGGAAGAGAAGTGAAATTCCTTATGAGATTAGCAGGCAAAGTGGTGAATCTGAGAAGACTGTGTAGGAATGAAAAGTGTAAGGGTGTACCTAGGTAATGCTAATAGGGAATGGGATGGGCAAGGAGAGAGAAGAGTATTTGCCAAAGAGAAAGGTAAAATGAAGGAGACATAGGCCCCTAACATAGTATAAAAAGTGTGACAGGGCTGGGGATTTAGCTCAGTGGTTAACGCCACCTGCCTCACAAGCACAAGGGCCAGAGTTTGATCCCCAATACCAATCAATCAATAAATAAATAAATAATTTTTAAAAATCTTATCATTTAACCCAACAAAAATGTCTTAATATAGCAAAATATAGGCAAGACAATGTTGAAAACATTCCCTTATTCTCACCATAGAAAGCAACTCTAGTGGCCAGGCAAAGTATAATCAGTCAATACATTATTTTTCTTCAAACAAAAGAATATATGCAATAATGACAATATAAAAACTGAATCATGCTACATGCACATTACTCGTGGATATCAGAATGCATAGAAGGACAGAGACATAAGGTATGCATTTTGTCCCTTCATTTATACAAAGTTTAAAATATAACAAAATGAAATATAGAAAATGAGAGGATCATCTAGAAGTTACAGTAATTATTACCGCTTGTGTAATAGGAACAAAACTGAGAATACAGAAGTCATATGCCTGTGGAAGACGAGAAGGAAAGAGCAGGGGTATAGACAGGGCAGATGGGTCTGGGGAGGGACCTGTGTGAGAATACCGCCTGTGGAATTGCCTGCATGTGGTGCACTTTTGCATGGGATGTATCCATAAAGCATCTCAAATCCAGGTATTTTGAGGCTCCTGTGATCTTAGGCTTGTTTGAAGTGGCTAGTGTCTTCCAACATTCATTCCAGTCTACCATAGTCTTTTCTGATCATGCCTAACACGCTGTTTTTATGTGTCTCTGATAATTCTGGACCCGCTCAGCCACTCTCCCACCATTTTCTCAGCACAACCCAATCCTCCAGTGATCTTGGGCTTACTCCAGGCTTCTTATGTGTTCTCACTTTGGTATTCACTACTTCCACTTCTGGTTATTTTCTGTTTCTTTCCGACTAAATCGCCTGTATCAACTGATGGTCAGAAGCACTCAACTCAAATCTGGCATATGCTTTGGACCTAGCTAACCTTCTGACCCTGTTCAATGGTCCCTCCATACCTGCACCAAGAAATTTGTCTTCATGGGCGTCTGACGTTGTGTACAAAATATTCCTCATTGGGTGGTGTTGAGTTGGGGCCTGTATCTCGTCTTCACCCTGAAGATCATCTTGCATATTCACCTCTCCTGTGAAAATAATGATGAAGAGATATGGTTCCAGTTTGATGTTTCTGTGTACCGACTTAATCTAAAGAAATAATGAGTCTGTTCTTTGGCATTTTCAGTGGACATATATTGCCTTGCTCCTTTTGAATAAATACTATGGTTCCTATTAGTAAAAATGTTTAAATGTGGAATTTTGTTGATCTTGTCAATACATTGCAGATCATCGCATTTGCCCAACGTGTCACTGCTAAAGAGACAGAGACACCTTGCTTCTGCCTTTCCACTAGACTATTACAGTATACTTACTGAACTGTCTTGTAGTTAGCACTGCTTGTGTGATGACATTTGCTACAAGGCAAAAATGAGTTCAAGAGTCATGTGGCACTTCTACAGCCGTACAGACCTCTGCATCTATCCACGTACTTTCCCTCTCCAGGTGACTGGGATCTTGGTAATCCAGGGTTTCTTTGAAAGTGATATGTTAATGATGACAATATTTTTGTAGTCTCAGCCTATAAATGTGTTCATGCAAGACAACTGCTCTATGTCTTTCAACATACAATGAGTTCATACACAAGTAAGAAGTAGATTCTGCCTGTGCTACTTACTGTAGCTTGACCTCTTTGTGTGACGTCAAGTTGCACTGTGCTTTTAAGGGGAACAATATCATCTCATTTGATATATAGTATATGGACAGTTATGGTGGATGTCAGTATGTACCTTTGGCCTGTGTTTTGCCTTGCGTGTGTGTGTGTGTGTCTGCTCCTGTCTATCTGTGTGTCTGTTTGTATATGAATGTATGTGCTT